CGTAGATGCAGCGGACAGACAGGTCTCAGTTGGTTTGGTGTCCTCTGCTTACTTTCAATAGGCCTACTTGTAAATAAAACGTTTGGCCCGTAATTTATTTTACTCATTGTAGCGACCAGAGGGGATCGAGGGGGGTATATCCAGTCTCTGATAGTGTTACGTTATTATGAGAGTGCTCTGTTTGATTCTGAAATTGTATATATTTATATAAATATATACATATATATATATATGTATATATATGTGTGTGTGTGTGTGTGTGGTGTGTGTGTGTGTGTGTGTGTGTGTGTGTGTGTGTGTGTGTGTGTCCGCATCTGTAGCCTGTTATTGTCTCATTATACCGCACTGTCAATTAATCAAAGTAAATATATAAGTGGTCATGAACACATCAGACAGAGAGAGGGCTGCTGTGCCTCCTGTCATCATTAATGGACGTCTCTTTAAAATGACCGCTCAGAGGAGAGGAGTTCTCATTTCTCTAACCGCCTGCTGCTTCCCCTCCTCTCCCCTCCTCGGCTCCTCGGCTCGCATCTCCTGTGGGCGGGACTAAGGCCCAATCTCAAACCACCCCCTCGACCCTACCCCTCCGTGATGGAGTGAACTCCGTCTGTAGCCACACTCGCAGCTCAACGAGGCTCCCTCCTGTCAGATGGAGGGAGTAAATACAGCAGCAAGCTTTGGGACGGCCTCCCCTCTCTCCGGCAGAAACAGGAAATGCCGTAACTGTGTAACAACGGTTTTAAATCTGCATCTCTTAGACAAAAAGTTTAAATGAATAACTCAAATAAAACTCCAAACATCTTTCATTGTGTTTCAAAGCTCTTTTAGTTTTAAACCTGATGTTTATAAGCTTCTTAGTTTTTGCAACGGTCTGTAAATATACACAACTTTATAATAAAATGCACACATTTACCTTTTTCTAGACTAAACACAGGTATGATCCTAAATTAAAAACAAAGTGAGGTTATCATGAGGTTGTTAACATCGCAATTTATCAGTGGATGTTTGCTGGAACTACTTGTAAACAGCGTGTTTCCTGACGGACACACACAGCGTGACTCCGGTCAGGAGACCGGTCTCAAGTCAGCACCGCTGCAGACTCGCTGTTTGAGGGCTTGATAGCCCACTCCCTCTCCACACCATGCTCCACACTCGTTGCTTTGGAACAGCCCTCAATATGGCGGACCCTCCGCGTGAACGCGCAAACGGAGGGGTAGGGTGTAGGGGGCGGTTTGGGAATTGGCCTAAGTATCGAGGGTAGGAGTCGAGGAGGGGAGTTAGAGAAATGAGAAAGGGCCCCAGTCTCTGTTAGTGTTACGTTATTATGAGAGTGCTCTGTTTGATTCTGAAATTGTATATATTTATATAAATATATACATATATATGTGTGTGTGTGTGTGTGTGTGTCCACATCTGTAGCCTGTTATTGTCTCATTATACCGCACTGTCAATGAATCAGAGTAAATATATAAGTCGTCATGAACACATCTGTCCATCAGACAGAGGACTGCTGTGCCTCCTGTCATCATTAATGGACGTCTCTTTAAAATGACCGCTCAGAGGAGAGGAGTTCTAATTTCTCTAACCGCCTGCTGCTTCCCCTCCTCTCTCCTCAGCTCGCATATTCTGTGGGCGGGACTAAGTCTTGAAAATAGGAGTCGAGGATAGGAGTCGAGGAGGGGAGTTAGAGAAATGAGAAAGGGCCAAGATATCGCAGACAAATCAACTTCCGGTGAGACCGAGGACCGAGGAAATGAAAATAGTCGACCTGAGACAGGGCCCTTGTAGATAAATAAAGAACTACGAGTACGACAGATGTGTAATATTTAATGTAGCCAAACCATTTATTACAATGCATTCATGTGATGACTTTCAAAGAGTAAAGCAAGCACTGCTGAATAAAGTATGATTTCATCTTTTACGAAACGTTTTTTTCATATGGAATGCAGTTGGAGGTCAACCAATCACAGAGCTTGAGGTAGTGTGAAAATAATGTTTTTCTGGGTAGTGTAGTGTCTTCGGCCATCCTAAATTGAACAAATATTTGTTTCTCCGAATCGAAGGGGGAAATTACAAAAGCATTGTACACAATTTAAACCAATCAATGTTGTGTAATGAACAAGGATAATCTGGTGTTTTTGAGTTGATGAGTAGTGCAGATATCACTGTAAAATCAATCGACAGTAAAGAGAATACTTACTTCCGGGTGTAAAATCCTGCGTTATCCAATGGGAATGGACGCTCACATTGCTCTCCGTAATACAATAAAGGGGACATGATCAAATCGGAATATAATGTTCTTTTAAAAAACGTTAACTAAAGGGAACAATCTATTTGACACAGCTGAAGCTAATTTAATAAAAATCACAGTTGTATTACACACAATGCACTGTTTTTTGAGAACAAAAATTCGTAACTAATGCACCATAATACATTCTGACGAAAAATACAAATTATTATGAATACAAATAAAATAAAAGAAGCCTCCCGTGAGTTACTACAAGCTATAAAGTAGGTTTTAAAAACGTTTTATAGAATAAAAGCTCACTGCTGGACGTTGTAGAAATGCGTGTGTGCACCACGACAAAAAAGCCTCATTCACTTTAGATTGGCGTTGGTTTGCGTGGTGCAGACACGTAAATGTAGCGAAGTTCGTGACTCTACCACGCAATGCGGTGTTAAGGAGTCGTGGTGGAGTCACGCATTCTGGTAAGACCAGGTTGGATTTGTCAGTAAGTAACTATCAGTCTCTAGTGATTGTCTGTGCACCTGAGTATTTGTTACCACTCTCTCTGTCTTTGGGGAAATTAGGGAAGTGTGTTATTTGTTTCAGTGTGTGCTAGCGGTAAATATCACTGGGGTGATTAAGTGTATCCTTGCGCAGTAATTGCCAATTTATTCGTCTGTGTTTGTGTGCTGATTCGTAGTGTCTCATCTGTCAGTCAAGCTGGGCGTGGTTTCCATGGGGATAAGGGAAGTGGAGTAGTCATTCTCTTCAACCTATGGTCAAAGTAAATTACCTGCAGTCTCCAAAGTTGCTATGGAGAGGCAATCACCCTAAATTGTAATGTGCCAGACTAATTTGTCAGGCCTTTACCTCTTAAATTGATTGGGGTTTTCTCTCTGATAAAACATTTCCAAGGGTAAGCAGTAGAAACAGCTCAAGTGTTTTGAAAGCATGCTTGATTCTACAAGTCAATAAAGATCTTTTTGGTATTGGAGGGGGAACATGATTGGTTAAAAGTGAGTATGCGACTGCGAATGCGTGTTTACATACTTTATCTTCCAGCAACCTGATGCCATGGTCATTGTAGATGAATCTGAAGTGTCGGCGTTCAGATGGGACCCGTTCCACTTGTTTCCTCTTCAGCACCCATCTGCATGCAGAGACCCAGGTGCATCAATGCCATCCTTCTGACGTAGCCCTACTTGTTTCCCTCAACACCACCTGTTCAACTCAGTAACATACATACAAACACCAAGTTCCCTCAGGTAGTATTTAGATTAAGACACAGGTCACTTGATATGGTCTGCAACACTAGATGCTGATCCAGTTTGACTTGTCGTCCTCACATTGGAAATATTTGAGTGGGAGTACATTCTAATTTGTCTCTGTTCTTCGTTAAAGACATTAGAAAGTGGGCCGCCAATGGAGAAAACATGACCTGCTTCATCTCCATTTACTGCGAGGATTAAATCAGCTCTCATCACTGCTGATCTACCGTGAGAAATTGGATTAATCAATTGAAGACAGTACATCGCTCTGTAAATGAAAAAAGGACGCTCATCACTGAACACATAGATTTATGGTTCCGGTGTTATTTTGGTGACATGGTGAGTGGGCGGCTTTCTTTCAGCAAGAGAACATCAATCACACAAACCTCAGATGTGTAAAATTACCGGTTTTTGGAATGTGTATTAAGAGAGAAATACAAAGCGTTGCTAAACAACATTGAATCAATAAAATATAAGTTAGTTTGATATCAAATATGAAATACCTGTTTCTTTATTGAACCGTGTATAACCTTTTATAGATACAGTTTAGTCATTTAATTAATTAAGCCTGAAAATTAAAAGGTTTAAAAGAAGATTTACAAAAACACAGATGTTTTATCTTTGTTGTTATTTTGGCTGATTAGACCTCTGCTAAGGTTGAAGGTAAGTGGAGCTAATATATGAGGTCACCAATCTACACAGTAATAACAATGATAAAGGTTTAATTAACCCTGCACTTACAGGTGCAAAAATAAGATTCTGTAAGATGTCAATCAATTGCAGTCAAGTCCGAGAAAGAGGTCCAATCAGGCAGGTTAACTGGAAACATCTGTGTGTTTTGGTTAGCAATCAGGGAAGCTAATACCATGATGAAGACTTGTAGCTTTAAAGCGTTTTGGTCAACCATGTATCAATGATTGATATTTAACGTACAATCAGGGTAATCACATGCTTTACAGAAGGCTAACCAAACTATAAACTTTCAACAAAAGTACATTTTTTTAATTCTTACGCGACTACTAATTTAGGTGGTTCACTGTGACCTTACATCTGTCTATTACTAATGACTCAAGGATTAACTGTTTACAATTTGGTGAACAAAGATCAAGGTAACTTTGACCCCACAGAAACTGATTTGGCCAAAACGTAAGAATTCATATACAAAATATGAACATTTCACACAAATGTCTAATAGGTTATAGTGATTACATGTTGGATGTGTAAACTGCAACTTGACAGGCAAGCTGAGGAATACTACAGCAGTTTTTTTACATTCAAATGTTATTTTTAATCCTTAATATCATATGCTTACTGTTTATCACAGATACACATGAGCTTAAGCATGGTATTTCTGCAGCTTACAAGGAAGCCAACATTTATAAACATTACACAGCTAAGATCTCCACATGAAGCTTTACATCCACATGTGATAAATCCACCATTATTTCACCTTGTATCTGAAAGTATTTACAGTAGGCTCTGTCAAACTGTATTGTCTAAAAAATGTTCATGTGTCACGCGTCTGAATATGAACCAGTGAAGCTCCACACACATGGGATCAATATGTTGTCAGTTGATTATTCAGTTGTGAGATGGGATTTAATCACGACTGTTACTCATGGTGGTTGTATGCCCCTGTGTCACGACACTGACAAAGACAGACACTTCACTGCAAAAGAAAATAGTTCAAACAAACAAAATGTCCTTAAGATGTGTGATTTATTTGTTAAGGTTAATATTGTCCAGTATTTAATGACGGTTTCACAAATGGACTTTGAGGAGAGTTGCATTTCAATGTTTGTTGGTCTCTCTCTTACAGTCAATAGTGCCGGATGCTTCTGTAGACGTTTTTTTCATCCTTGAGGCAGCGCAGCTCTGCTGGCAGCCATCTTCCCTTTCTGAATCTGAAAACCATACAGCATAGATTATGAAAATGGTGTGATGAGTACCAGCAGCGGATGATGTGTACCTCACAGGTATGTTTTGTGTATTTACGGTACCAAGATCTGAAGGAAAGATGTTGTTTAAGGTAAAAGATTGTATTTAATCTGCAGTGCCTGATGAATATAAAAATCTATCATAAATCAAATCTATCAACCATCCCAATTATTGATAAAATCATACATTGCATTATAACTTTAACATGAGATTTTTAAGCTCTTAGGTCCACTGTGTGAGGTAAGTAGATTGTGGAGTAATAAGTCAAAAGCTAATTCTATCAAGCACAACAACATATTACATTATTAATAACATTTACAAAGTTTTCAGATAAAAATTACCTCTCAAAAAGTTGTCTATAACTTCCAAGCTTAACTCAGCATGCCAAATAGATACAGATACTAAATGTAATGGGAATGCTATACACTTTTGACCTGAACAGATTTCGACTCTGCAGACTTCAACACTGATAATGTGCTGCTCTTTGCTGCCCTCACATGACTCTTAAAGGAACTTTTTTTTACAGTTAATACAATCCATCAATCAAATCTCCATAATGCTCTACCATTTAAGCAAAGGCTGGATCACCAAAACACTGACAACAAATAAAATGAATCTCAAAAATGACTGCTATCTGTTCTAGCTATAGGCATATCGTCACTACAAATGCATGGAATGTTGTTCCTGACTAACCAAACCAGGAGCAAAGAGAGACGTCTCACAAAGTAAGCATACTCATACACAAGTTTACAAATGGGTCGAGGGATTTACATTGCACATCAAATTAATACATATACCGGTAGGCTTTCTACCTGAGCCACTGGCTTCCAAAGCGAGGTAACCATCCAACAAGGAGCTGAACCCCGTTAGCCCCCCCATGGCAGCATAAGGGACATCCTTGCCTATTGGCTGACCACGAGCCTCCCTCTCTAGTTTGTCTCAACCTGCAAAAAGGGATTTGAGTTCAAGGTGTAAAACGTTATGACTGTGGACAAATGGTAACACAATTGAAAATATATACCTAGCATTTTTTGTAGGTGTTACTGATGTCAACTCTACTCACTAGGGTCTGATGGGCAGGACTAGGCTGGCCACACCCACAGGTGTATGAGCTGTTGAACCCAGAACAGGAACTACCTGAAAAACATTTTTGACAGATGCTTAGAGGTAACTTGGGCTAGAATGAAACAGCTTCTATCTTCAAATGTTGATTTTAAACTCACATTTCTTGCAAAAATGGTCAGAAGCTTCACTGTGATCCTGAGGAAAGTGTTTACACCTGCAGCGGACAGGATTTGGCCCAATCTGAGGAACATACTGGTAAGCAGAACAACGACATCCTCTGACCTGGCATGGCAGGGCCAGGGGTCGCTCAGAGGGAACCACCTCAAAGTCAGTCATATGTTGCTTGTACCTGGAAAAAAATGATATTATTCACAAATGTCTTTATTTATATTTGCCTTTATGTGCAGTCAGGGGAAGGCCGTTTGATTTCTTGTGTAATGGTGTAATGTATTACCTATGTGTGCAGAAGCACTGAGTCTCAGGGCCAATTTGTTTGCAGTCGATACCTCCTGGAACCCCAAAGCTCACATATAGCCTGTTATTCAACCGTTGAGGGAGCACTTTCCTCTTGTACTCCTCATACTCCTCTGGAGTGAACAGTCTCCCTCCATCATCATCACCTACAATCCTGGAAGAGACAGTTAAAACAGTTAAGACTCTGGTTTATAACCAGTGTTGGAAGAAGTACTCAAATTCTTTACTTAAGTACAAATGCTATGGTCTAAAAAATACTCCACAAGTCAGAGTCCTGATTTCAAAACTTTACTTCACTTAAAGTACAAAAGTAATAGCATCAAAATGTACTTAAAGCACCAAAGGTAAAAGTACTCATTCTAAACAATGACCCAATTCAGAATCATATTATATATTATAAGTATTATCAGCTGAGTGTACTTGTTAGTATCAAACATGAAAGTAATTGTTATGCAGAATGGATCATTTCATATTATTATATTTGTATTATTAATGATATTACCCTGTTTTTATACATGTAAAAGCATTTTAATATTGTAGTTTGTCGATGTGCCACATTTGTATAAAGTAAATGTGAGTGTAGAATGATACAAAGTTAAGATCTTAAGTGTAGCAGAGTAGAAGTATAGAGCTGTATATGGAAATACTCAAGTAAAGTACAAATATGTCAAAATAGTACTTAAGTCCAGTTTCTAGAACATATACTTTCCACCACTGTTGATAACTTACAATTACAATGAGCTGACCTGCCTACAACAAAGGCCCATATTGTTATCTTAACATTTGAATTGTTCTTTATCTGTAGCAGGTATAGCATTAGGTTTGTCATGCTATCAGTTTGCAGTGTATGAAACCCCTGTAAAGATTAGTCGGGAACAAAAGCATACAGTGTAACGTTAAGACTAACCTCCTGTATTCACAGTAGTCTTCCACTGCTTGTAAACCTGATTCATCGACAGAAATTCTCTCCATTGTCAAAAATGATAGCTTTGGATTTAAGTCTGGCACAGCAACAACTACTGTTTACTATATAGTTGCCATGGAAATGTCTGTAGTAGGTGTCCCTCTAACGGTCTCAAAGTGAGTTGCAACACAGACACACAACGACACAAGGATAGAGGGAAGCAGAGAACAGAAGAAAAGTCCATACCTATATTACTTAAAGGTAGGGTATGTAAGCTTAAGAAACCGGCTCGAGATACACTTAAGCAATAGCTCACGACAGGCCGTGGTATATGCTCATTATATCACAGCTAAGGGGCGTGGTTCGGCCCGACGCGAAGCGGAGGGTCGACAACCCCCTTAGCTGTGATATAATGAGCATATATCACGGCCTGAAGTGAGCTATTGCTTTTATAAAACGGTTACCAAGTGTGGCAATATGAAAGAAAAATACACACTCTAATTTAAATAGTTTTTATTAGTAAATAATGATGTTCAAAATAAAATAGTCCCTCCGTTGCCTTCTGCACGAAACATAGTGCGAGGTGGTTGCTATGCAACAACACTAACAGCTAGCGAACATATTAGACAGAGAGCGTTGATCCATTATTTGGCTATTTATTTACATTCATTTGTATGTTGCCGTTTATTGTGCAGCCACTGAAAAACTGTCCAGCATCAGTAGAATGGCTTACGTGGTTACTTGTATAGGTCGAGGTTGTTCTAGGCTGTCAAACCTTGGAAAGTATCTAGATATCCCTGCCATAATGCCAAAGGAACTGCACACTGAATATGTTTTGCCGTTTGATGTCTATGTCTGGACCGCTGCGTAAAAAGGAGGGTTTCTGCCCCGTTACTTCTCCGCTGCTTTCTTGTTCCAGTTTGAAGCAGTTTGCTTTTCAGCCCAACGGTATACTGTTTTACTCAGACGCGGAGGGATACTGACTTGTTGTGAAAAGTAATTTACAATTCTACCCGTGGTATACGCTCAGTATATCACGGCTAAGAACCAATCAGATTGCTTGATTTGACTTGTCCGTTTTATAATTTTTGTTATATTCCGTGGAATGCTCTTAACATCCCGATAGCAATGAATATCTTAAGTGCTTTGACAAAAAATCCATAAAAAAAATTAATCTGTGGAAGCCGTAATACTGTAAAAAGTACGACCAATCATTTTAGCCGGCCCGGCTAAAATAACTGGATGGCCTACCTGCCTGTCAGCCTTCCATCTGTGCACAAACTCATCTCGTGCCCTCATTGGTCATGTTCGCGTTCGTGTGTGTTGGAGGAGGGGCTCTATAAGGAAGTGGCAGATTTTCTCCGGTCGTGTATTTTCAAATTCTAGCGGTCTCGAGCCATGTCTTGAGCCGGTTTCTCAAATGTACATACCCTACCTTTAATTAGAAGAAAGCTATCTAACTTTAATAAGATATGTGTAATTTAGCTAACATACTGAAAGCCATACTTCTACAAACTTCACTAGCTGTGTATTGGGCACTAACTATATGACCTGTCCTTTTTGTATTCAAGGACTTTTATTCAGTATTTAAAAAATCAGTAAAGATATTAAATATGACGAAGGTACGTTTTAACCGTTTGTTTTTTCGTTCTAATTGAAACAACAAAAAAAAGCAGAAACGGGTCGTTTTTTTGTTTTTCAATTTTGCCCCAAAACGAAAAAACGGAAATTCAGCTCGTTTTTTCGTTTTTCTGTTCTTATTGTTAAAACAAGTATACCACTCAATGTTTCGTTTCCATAAGTGGGTGTGTCTCCAGCGCCTCCTTGCTTCTGATTGGCTAGTGTGCCCTATGCTTGCGCTGTACTCTTCAAAAATAAAGGTTCTACGTCTTTGCCTTTAGACTGCGTTACAAAATGTACGTATATTATTATATTCATACATACAAGTACAGAAGACAGTCTGTCCGTATGTCTGTCTTTCTATGTATATGTCTGTCTCGATGTCTTTCTATCTCGATGTCTGTCTGTCTTTCTGTAACTATATTTTAGAGTTTAAAGCGTATCCACTTTTACTCCACTACATATATTTAAAACCTTTAGTAACTTTACAGATTTGGATTAATTATGTGAAATGTAATCAAGTGTTAAATCAGACTTTAGTTCCACCTGGAGTAAATCCACAAGCTACCCTGCAGTATACAAAGTCATTCAAACTAGCTGCACCTTTACCAGCTTTGAGAACACTTTCATGATCAATCATTATAAAACATATCATATATATTATTCTGAAATGGACCAATCTGCACAATGACTACTTTTACGGTCGCTACTTTAACTATATTTTGATGAGAATACTTTTATACTTTCACTTGAGGAACATTTTGAATGCAGGACTTTTACTGTAACAGAGTATTCCTCTGGTACTTCTACTTTTACTCAAGTACAAGATCTGAGTACTTCTACTTTTACTCAAGTACAAGATCTGAGTACTTCTACTTTTACTCAAGAACAAGATCTGATTACTTCTACTTTTACTCCAGTACAAGATCTGAGTACTTCTACTTTTACTCAAGTACAATATCTGATTACTTCGACAACCTCTGATTAATGGTTGATTTCCAAATGTTCTGTTGGTGCGTGCATGGATGATCAAATAATAGTGTTTGATTGTATTGCCTTACGTATGCAGCTATTTGCCTGTGTTTAGAAACATAATTAAACATACCATGGACACACATTCAAACAATTTTCCATTTATTAAACATTGCAGATGAACAATTAACAAGTCATACAGCTAAAGAAAACTACAACAATAATTTTCTGTATGATGATATCATGGAACCTGGAATTTGAACACACGGCACTTAACAATAAACGACTGAACTGCTGTCCACTTTAGGGTAGGGCCCTTAAAGCATCCAGTGCTGCAGACAGTCCAGCAACCTGCGTATACACTGGCTCCTGATCCCTGCACTTAAGGCATTGGGGAGATGTTATCCTCCACTCCTCCACACAGAGCCTGCATCCCACGATGCTTCGGCAGCAGGAGGAAAACATGGGTCCAGTCATTGTGTCGCTTTTGTACCCAAAATGGTATAGGCAGAGAGCGAGTGCACGATTCCCAACTGGAAGTATAGGTTGCTAAAGCAGCTGTTGAGGTGAGGTAGGCCTATGGCTTAATTCAGTGATGTAAAGTAATTACGTAGATTTACTCAAGTACTGTACTTATTACTTAATAGAGTGGTGTAGTGAAGCGTCCTAAAACCCGGAAGTAAGTTCCTTCTGGTTCCCTCGACAAAAAAGCTATGCAATTTCGCCATAGGATTTTGGAAAATAGCTCAAAATAATGTCTGTGGTTGACACACATTTAAGAGACGGATCACGTTTTGTTCAGTCGGATAATCTCCACATGTCTACCCTACTTTTATAATTTTATAATCATAAATCGAATCGAAAGATTTATGATTTTAGGACGTGTCACTGCACGACTCTATAGACTACTGTTGGGTTCCGGAAAGCTGGGAGGAGTACATGGCCAGAAAGAATCCAAGAAACTTCTTGTAAAATTGACAGGGTTTTAATTATAGTAAACATGACGTTCCTCTGAGGCTGCGACGGGAGAGGGCCCGTATAAAAGTTTCAGTTCCGATTATAAACTCTCTGGTACTTCCAGTCTTCTCCCATTGGTTGGCGGCGTCATATTCCGTTGCCCTCTATTGACGTAGCTAAACATCCATTCATAAGCATTTAAATAGCTATATACATGATAGTTAACCATATAGTAACAGTTGATATGTTAGCATCGATGAGTGGCAGTTGGAGACGGTGTGTTTAGTATGTAACGACACACGTTTGTATCCATCTCTTCACTAATGCTGCTTGATATGCTACATCCTACTGTGAATGCTAAAAACAATGCAACTTCCGGTTCCGGAAGCTACTACCCTCGATATTTGTCCGTGGGGGAACAATACATCAGTGGACTAAAGTTCCGGTTTCATTTGTATATTGATTATTCTCACAATACAAACAAATGTAACGAGCCCTGAATTATGGGTTTTCTTTGAGACGTAGGAGCTGAGTTGAGGCTTAACAATGATGTGACAGAAATACTCACTAATAACTTTGGACATAATTGTGTAAATAATAATGAGATAACTATTCTGGTTTTTTTTGGTTTCAATTAGAACTAAAAAACAAACGGTTAAAACGTACCGTGGTCCTATTTAGTTTTTGTTTTGTGTTTACAAATTCAGACTGGACCAACATATGGAAGAAAAATGATGACTGGTTACCTGGCCTCAAAAGGAATCCGAGCATCAGAGGGGCGTGTTGGTCGTGTCCTCAGAGAAACTAACCAGCCATATCATGCAGATCGGTATCGTGTAGGTATTATTAAAAAACATAGATTTTCCTGTATTGTACATTGCTGTGAACATATTGTGAGAACAATAACATTGTGTTTAATTCCTCAGAGATAAAGGAATTTAAATCCAGTGCCATACAGTGCAGAGTACATGGGTCACAAATTGCACATTGACCAAAACGAGAAACTGGTGATGTATGGGGTGACCCACGTCCTTGCCGTGGACGGATTCTCCAGCAACATTGTAAGCCACTCCACCATGCCAGTGAAAAACAACCTGACCATATATCAAGAGGTTTACCAGTAAGTTTCAGTGCCCTGTTTCTGTTATAATAATATAATAATAACCTAATAAACAGCAGACAGTAAATAATTTAGTAAACATTTAGCTAAATAAAATCACAATGGCTAAATTTAGCTTTATTTGAACAGTTTTATTTGGGAAAAATATTGTAAATCGAAAACTACTGACAGGTAACCACTGTATATTGTACGTTACTTGGTAATTGATTGATGAGATCAACATTTTAACTGCGTACACAATTCGCTTTAGCAATGCTTAGGTTGTAACAACAAACATGAAATTATGTTACATGTCATAAGACTTTTGTATTGCTGTTTTGCAGGAGTGCTGTCCTACGATATGGAATGTGGGACCAAATCCGAGTAGACCATGGAAAATAATTCTACTTTACTCTTTTCATGCAGGAGAAATTGGCAGACTACCGGAATGACACAGGCAGACAGCCATACATGCAAACAAAGTCAACACAGGCGAGTTGTTTTTTTATCTGAATTACAATCAACGTGTTCATACATTACATTACATGTCCCTTGTTAGACGCTTTTATCCAAAGCGACTTACATACTCAATACTGTGGACAATCCCCACATAGCCATTTTTGTCTTTTATTCCTCACTTTATCTGCTGTAATCATGTAAATTACCCTGTGGCGAGACAAATAAAAGATTTCTGATCTCATTCCATTATTCACCCAACTGCTAGCTGATAAAGCTGTCAATAGACCTATGGCGTTCACTAAACTTCTCTAGGGGACTGCTAGCTTTTTCCTATGACATAGGAGAGATACACAGTACTTTTGAACTGGATACAACAGGAATGGATAAAATACAAAGCCGGAAATTGGGAAATTAACAATGGGAAATTACAATGTGCTCTCTACATTTGACTCTTCTCATTTTTGTTTACTTTAAATTACAGAATCATATTATAGAAAGGATGTGGCCAGAGGTAAACAACAGGGTAAACTACCCTCTGAAAGGCGCACTCAACCACCTTGTTGACCAGGAGGAACTAAACCTCGAAGACAACATCACACGATATTGTGTGTCCACTCTTACCTGTCAGGTAGCCAAAATTGGACTTGCCCGGATGGTGCAGTCCTGGAATGCACACAGAATCCAAGGTTTGTATAGCAGTTTTCAGAATGTTACTTAAGCCCCATAACAAATGACCTTCTTTATGTATTTTTATAAGTTGTACTTATATCCTACATTTGTTTGTCTCTGTATCCCCTTCTTTACACTAGGTTGATGGAAATGTTTAAATGTGGCATGTATATATTACAATATTTCAATAATTGTCTGAGTAAAGACATATCTACTATCTAGTTTATAAATTGCTCTTATTGCATGAAACATATATATCTGGTAAGTACATAAACAGTCAAATTAAAAACATACTTTTAAAAGTTTGTAAGAAGTGTACTAATAGCACAAGTACAATTTTTTGTAAGGGCAGGCTATGATTACACGCTGTGTGAGGTTCATTGATATGCATGATATGTAACATTACACTAACAATGGCCACTTATTTGTGTTTTTTTTTAAGGTAAGGGTATCCCAGATCAACTTGCTCATGGTGGGTGCCCAAAGAGACTGCCTGCAGATCTTTTGCCTGAAGCTACAGATGCTGCAGACTGCTATCATCAGGAAGTGGGGTCCTCTCTGACACGAGTGTCGCTGTTTGGGAGAAACCCATTTGCCACTGTGGAGCACCAGACAGCAGCTGAACAAGAATTTGCAAGGAACTATGCGGACATTGCTGAACTCTTTGAGCGTGCCATTCATAACGAGCCAGCACCATTCCAAAACGGGATAAAGGATCTCATAGGCATTGTAAGAAGATATGTGTAAAGGCAAGTGCAGGGATCAGGAGCCAGTGTATACGCAGGTTGCTGGACTGTCTGCAGCACTGGATGCTTTAAGGGCCCTACCCTAAAGTGGACAGCAGTTCAGTCGTTTATTGTTAAGTTTATTGTTAAGTGCCGTGTGTTCAAATGCCAGGTTCCATGATATCATCATACAGAAAATTATTGTTGTAGTTTTCTTTAGCTGTATGACTTGTTAATTGTTCATCTGCAATGTTTAATAAATGGAAAATTGTTTGAATGTGTGTCCATGGTATGTTTAATTATGTTTCTAAACACAGGCAAATAGCTGCATACGTAAGGCAATACAATCAAACACTATTATTTGATCATCCATGCACGCACCAACAGAACATTTGGAAATCATCCATTAATCAGAGGTTGTCAAAGTAATCAGATCTTGTACTTGAGTAAAAGTAGAAGTACTCAGATCTTGTACTTGAGTAAAAGTAGAAGTACTCAGATCTTGTACTTGAGTGAAAGTAGAAGTACTCAGGTCTTATACTTGAGTAAAAGTAGAAGTACTCAGATCTTGTATTTGAGTAAAAGTAGAAGTACTCAGATCTTGTACTTGAGTAGAAGTAGAAGTACTCAGATCTTGTACTTGAGTAAAAGTAGAAGTACTCAGATCTTGTACTTGAGTAAAAGTAGAAGTACTCAGATCTTGTACTTGAGTGAAAGTAGAAGTACTCAGGTCTTATACTTGAGTAAAAGTAGAAGTACTCAGATCTTGTACTTGAGTAAAAGTAGAAGTACTCAGATATTGTTCTTGAGTAAAAGTAGAAGTACCAGAGTGTAGGAATACTCTGTTACAGTAAAAGTCCTACATTCAAAATGTTCCTCAAGTGAAAGTAGAAAAGTATTCTCATCAAAATATAGTGAAAGTAGAAAAGTATTCTCATCAAAATATAGTGAAAGTAGCGACAGTAAAAGTAGTCATTGTGCAGAATGGTCCATTCAGAATAATATATATGGTTTGTTTTATAATGATTGATCATGAAAGTGTTCTCAAAGCTGGTAAAGGTGCAGCTAGTTTGAATGACTTTGTATACTGCAGGGTAGCTTGTGGATTTACTCCAGGTGGAACTAAAGTCTGATTTAAGTGTTGATTACATTTCACATCATTCATCCACATCTGTGAAGTTACTAAAGGTTTTAAATACATGTAGTGGAGTAAAAGTGGCTACGCTTTAAACTCTAAAATATAGTTACAGAAAGACAGACAGACAGACATCGAGATAGAAAGACATCGAGACAGACATATACATAGAAAGACAGACATACGGACAGACTGTCTTCTGTACTTGTATGTATGAATATCATAATATACGTATATTTGTAACGCAGTCTAAAGGCAAAGACGTAGAACCTTTATTTTGAAGAGTACAGCGCAAGCATAGGGCACACTAGCCAATCAGAAGCAAGGAGGCGCTGGAGACACACCCACTTATGGAAACGAAAACATTGAGTATACTTGTGAAAAAACGAGCTGAATTTCCGTTTTTTCGTTTTGGGGCAAAATTGAAAAACAAAAAAACGTTCTAATTTTTCAATTAGAACGAAAAAACAAACGGTTAAAACGTACCTTCGTCAAATATGTATTAAATACACACATTTTGATTGTCTTTTTATTTAAAAAAATGTGCGCTACTATTTTGTCTTAATTCTTTGTAAAAATGTTCAACATTGGGTTTGGAGTCAGCCATTGTCTTTTTATGAATAAAACTGATTAAGTTTAGTTTAACAGTTTACCTGTCTAGTACTTTTCGTTTCTACGTATTTGTTGGATTAAATACAGGATTAGAGAGCGAACAAGCAGTAACAAAAAAAAACTACATTTCCCACAATGCCGTAGAAATGACGCAAACCGTAAACGTTCGGGGGATCCATGACAGTCTGCACAGTCGCATGCTTAAAATTCTAGCTACCGACTTTTGCTTGCTAGGACCTCGTCGTTTTCGGGACAGTAAGAGAAGCCGAAATGACTGACAGTGTGAGCGGACACCTCAACATGAAGCTCGGCAGCTAACCTTATTACCGGAGACATATTCCTCCAGATATTTTCCCCAGCGACAGCAACGACAGTCTAGGATTGCCAAACAACAAGCATCATTCAGTGTCAGCCAGAGGAAGCAGCTGGAGCTCTCAGGCGCATCGTCCCTGGTCATTCCTGCTAAAGGTAGCTTCTCAGACAACGCACTGGGGTAAATAATCGATTTTTGGTGCAATTTGCGAATGATACTTAGCCTTTCGGTTGAGTTTAAGCGTTGCGACCTAATATGTCGAGCTAAAATTTGAGTGGAATCTGGAATAGCTTCAATTTAGCATGAGCTACTGCTTACATTTTTATTTATTTTTAACTATGGTAGGTAGTAAAGCCTTGAACTGTATGCTAAAGTAGTCACTTTGTAATTTATGTCGATTACGTTTTAACAGTGGTGTAAACTAACAAAGTACATTTACTCAAGTACTCTACTTGAGGGGAAACAATGAGGTGATCTGCTTGAGTATTTTCATGTTCTGCTACTTTGTACTCTTTGTATCTACTACATTTGGTAGGCAAACATTACACTTCTTTCTTCACTACATTTAATTTACAGATTTAGTTAATTTGCAGATATAGATTATTAATACAAAATATAAATGAACTAATACATTATTATATGTTTTACCCAGTAGTATGCAAAGTAAATTAAATAAACCCCACCTTTGTTAAGTGCATAATTGAAGTGATGAACACATGAATGCATTATTGTCATAACAAATGCACAACTACAGTTATGTATTGTATGAAAGATTTGAATCACAGGTTCCTCAACAGTGTAAGGTTAAGTAAGTCAACATTTGCCAAGTTGTCAGTCTTTGGGTTTGTACTGTGTTGCAGTAGCATAGCTTGCATAATATGTACGTCTTCATATTTATTTCCTCCCACACCCTAACATTGTTAACTTTATTGTTTTTACTTTATACTCTATCCACTGATTAAATCTTGCCCAGTCAGCCATCTGGTGAAAGCCACGTGACAGCTGATGTGGTCAATATTTAACCCCTAGATAAGGTGTTTTGACTAACAATGTGTGCCTTATCAGTGTGAACCCTTCCATTATGTACACTATATCTAAACAGTTCTCTAGTGGAAGTGGAACATTCATTGTCTGAAGCATTGGCCTAACTTGTGTCTTTCCATGGAACAGTGATTGTGAATAGCCTGACATAAGACAGCATACCAAAACTCTTATAGATGTTATCAAGTGTCAACTTTAGGATTAAGCAAGAAAGGTGTGATTGTTTGCCAGACATCCAAAGGGCACACAGAAAATGATTCTCGTGTATTTCCCCTGGGGCTGAAATAGCTCCCATAACTTTCTAGCATGGCACAGAAAAATCCCTCCAGCTTGAAATATTATAATATAATAAATATTATTTGAACCTGATGCTGCATGGTCTCATGCATTGGGTGTGTTGTTTCATATAATCATATAATGAAAACCGATTTCTCACTTTTAAAGTTTTAAAGAATTCAGCTGCATACTGGGACTAAAGAGGGTTGCAGAGCTCTCATTATTTGTCACAATGTGTTTTGCTTCATCATCATGGCAGTTTCAACTGTTACTTTGATCATCTCTCCACACCTGGCTTTCTATTTCCTCTTTACTCTTTTGGCTGCTTATTCACAGTAACCTGCAGGTCATTGAAATGAGATGTGTGTGTGTGCGGATAGATACTGGGATGCATTGCGGAACGTATTCTGTTACCTTTCTTTTCATAATTGATTCCCTCATTCACTGTCCCTTCTCTGACCTCCATAGGAAGTGACACAACAACACCCAAGAAAGGCAGAGGGGGGATAATGAACTCTGTGACAAAGTTGCGAAAACTGACAAATGATAGCCTAATTCCCCCTGCATGTGCTCTCACAGCCTATTTGTCAGTCAAATAACCATTGTGGAGGTCGGATTAGGGACTGAATGCCCTCTGTGCCTCTGACTGTTGCTGTGTCTCATACCTGGGGCTGCAAAGTGGGTCCCATGAACTCTAAACTGGTAATCAGGTTTCTGGGCTACAAACAACTGCTGATGAATGTGCTGTAGAGCCCCCTGAGCCAGAGTGACAGAAAATAATCTTTAAAAATAAATTATGTGGTGTCTGTTAGAAAATCTTGCATTTATCTACACAGAAATCTCCCCAGGCATTATGATAAATAACCACAATGCTCAACAGGGCTTTGAAGAAGCTACTGTAGTGCTACAGAAAAGACCCTTTTAGTGGTTTTTGATATGTGTTAGAACGTAATTATTTTCCATTTCATGATATTTCACATATCTAGCAACTTGATGTGGCAATCCTTAAGATGTCAGTCTTGTCGAAATCATATTTACTAATGGTGAGAACAAATACTTAGTTCCCAAAATACTGTGGGCTCTGTGTGCAGACTCAAGATACGCAGGATAAAATCAGACCGCGGTTCTGGTGATTTTATCTTGCATAGCCTTCACATTGAAAGTGAAAGCAGTTGGTTACCTCCCTGGAGATTTCAAAGGTGTGTTTCCTGCTGCTCTTTAGCTAACAGCTTTATTGTGGTTGCTCACGACTGTTGTGTTAACACCCTGCAATATAGAACAAATACTCAAAATGACTGCGTCTCCTGTGACTACTATACTTCCAAATAAAAGTCAAGTTGTGTTAAGCCAGTTTATTGTAAAGCTGCATCAGAATGATAAGTATTAGCAGTAGCCTAACACAGCATTTCCCCCTGGAATGTCCCCACAGTTTGTAATACTACAAATATATAAATATTGCAATACTTTCATCAGTGGGATAAACGCTCAGTCACAATTGTGTTGCCACATTTGGCAATAGTGATTTAACAGGCATTTATTTAAACAAAAAAATGGTTGACTATTGTTTCGAAATAATTCTTTGTTAAATAAATCTCTAAAAGATGGCTGTAACAATTGTCTTTATGTATTTATTTTCTTGCCGCTAATTGTATCTCTCCTGTCTTTCTTCTACTTTTCCCACACAGACAACAATGCCTGCGAACCCTCTGCCTCAACACCCATTCTGCATTGGTGATTTGGTGATAGACATCTTGCAACCAAAGCACCTTTCTACAAATCCCTGACTGCCTGTGTGGGTGTCTTTCCTTCTGGTTCTACTTCCTGTCCTCTGCTGTTGCTCAAACTTTCTCATCTCCTCTGAGGGGGGGGGGGGGGGCAGGATGCCTTTTGTGGTTAGAGAAACTTCTGTTGCTGTACGGGTATAATGCAAGCACATATCCTGCTGGAGTTAACTTGAGGGAGGCACTGAATTCCGCTCTTGGAATGCTTTGCAGTGGACTTTGAACACTGACCTCTGCAGATACACTGAGCTGAAAATAAAAATCTCCCTGCAGGAATAAAGCAATTATCCCCCTATCAATTTATTGGTACATCCGCACCCGAAAAAAGACCTTCAGCCTCACACCGGGCCTCTGCAACTCTGCTTCTCTCTCCCCAGTACCATGCTGGGTAGGAATATGTCTCAGAAGCTGAGTGTGCTGCTGATGGTATTCGGCCTGGCGTGGGGACTTATGCTGTTACGCTACACTATGCAGCAGCCTCGCCATCAGAGCAGTGCCGAGCTACGTGAGCAGATCCTGGAGCTCAGCCGGCGATACGTCAAGGTCCTGACCGAGGAGAACCAGAATGCACCAGGAGGGCTGCAGGGAACCTCCATGGCTGGTTACGGTAAGCTTTCAAGAGGAAATCAGGAATGGTGTTCGATATGTTGGTGCTATTTCCTGCACATACAATTATCTGCTTAGACCTGTGTAGGAACTTTTGTGTTCTAAAGAATACCCAAGTATCGATTTCTTACTTGTGTTTTCCCTCCATCTCATTCCCTTTCACACAGCTGACCTGAAGAGGACTATCGCTGTGCTACTGGAAGACATTTTGACACGGCTGGTCAAACTAGAGGGGAAAATTGACTTGGCGGTCAATGCCTCTTCCACTAACACCTCCCACACAGCAGGGGGCATCCTTGACTCTGTGGCCGCCGCCCTACAGAAATCCTCAAAGCAGGAGACACCTGGCAGCCACCCAGGGATGTCACGCCTTCACCCACACATCCCTAATAGGCCTCGGCCACATCAAGGAGCATAGTCTTGAAAGACGTATTGATTTTTTTATTTTGAGCACATCACACTTTTCCAGCGTTTATCTCTGATGTTACTGCATCAGACCAATGAAAAGCAATAGAAAGACATACGGACATCCGGAAAAATACAAAGTGGGATGCTTCTTAGAAATGTTCAGCCAACTCAGAAGGAAGGAGCACTTCTTAAGGCTCTGTACTATCATATGCTGATGTTTATTTATTTTTATATTCTCATTGCTGATTTATTTTGGCTTAGATCTTTAGCATTTTTTCAATAATGCCATATCTGAATCCTATGACTGTTTAAGCAAAAGCAGAGAGGTATAAATACTCTTGGAGCTGAACCAGATTCACATGATTATGCTTTATCATAAAAGTGGCTTGAAATACTCCCCTATCTACATGGAAGTCTATTTTACAATACTGCTTACATATATCTAAATGCTGAACTAAGCAGCACACTCATGATAGTTAGGAATAGCTGTATTGTCAGTTTAGCTGGTGCGGTTGTTAATTAGATTCTACTTATAGCTTACTCATAGTCTTAAGAATAATGAATAGTTTGCCTATAAGAGATAATCCAAAGAATGTTATTTGCACTCCATCTGCAGGCAGGATAGTTGTGTATTTACAATTGCTGCAAGACAGTTTGAGGTTTATGCTGAATTTAAATGGATGATGCCTATTTTGCTACTGTAAACATGAGTGTGCCGTGTCTTGTTGAAATCCTATGGTTCCCTTGCCCAGTGTTGAGAAAATGTTTAAACTAAGATGTGTAGCAGATTGAATGTACTGTGTAGTCAGTTTTTAGCCCTTTAGTGCTGTTAAGATGACTGACATACTGCTTACACATGTTCAGGGTTCATGTTGTACTGTGACTCTACAGAGGTTTTCTAAAAATACTGGGCTCGCCCAACATTGACTTGATGGATATTTTAGAATGTGAGACATCCGGCTCTTGAATATTCCTCCTGAGTATGGCTTCCATTATACCAATATACTCTGGTGCCTGCCCAGAGGAAATAGATCTTTATTTTACACATCATGGTGCTCATTAACATGGGTCTGGGAAGAATATAGACAATGCTTTGATCGATACTACTTGGGGATTGTATGAGACAAAGTCAATGTTGGTGAAATACTGTAGGAGGGGGAAATGTATCACAATGTTGCTTTTACATTACAGACAATATGAATCAAGGCCTTTAGACTGGATTGTCCAACTGTGGTATGACTCTTTCTGCATCGGGTAATGTCATAAATGTACTTTGCTTCATAATGCATACGTTGAAAGATGTAGAGCCAGTGAGCTGCTGTGAGATGGCTTCATTAATAAATTGACCTTATGGAAAGAAATAGTTCTCCCCTCGTTTAACTCCACTCCTGTTGTTATTCAACATTTAAATGTCATGGGAAATATATGCTTAGACAATTAATCAAGATTTTGTTTTGCCTTTATCCATATATTCAGCCTGTGAATCACACAGGCTTTCATGAGGGGGTTGTGAATGTATGAGTGAATACACAATACACAAGTTTTCAGTTCATTAAATGCAACTGACCACACTACAAAACCCTGAGGTTATAATTTACCAACTAAATAATGTCTACTGTGGTGAAAAATAACATCTACTCGAGAACTTCCAGAGTACAATTTCATGGCACTTTTGCTGAGGATTTCCATTGTATGCTACCTTAACTTCTTGTCGACTGCTTTTCCTTTATGTAAATACAATACAATTTGGAGGTCACCGATTTAACATAAGAACATTGTCAGTTTATATGTTTAAAGATAAAGCAACCCAACAGGGTTTAATCTAGCCAAATATAAACCAGCATCAACATGTAGATGCTATACCTTGTCATTTTAATATACACTCAGTGGCCTCTTTATTCCGAGTTCTGAATTAGGTCTATTTATTAATTTTACTTTTAATATGTTGAGTTTGTCATTGGGATGTTAATGTTCTAGTAATTTGTACCATTCATTCAGATCATAGTTTGTGATGGTGTTGTACTAAACTACATTATATCCAGGGCCCTTTGTAAACACGATGAATATCCTACTGAATAGGTAATTCTCTATTATATGTAGTGGAAGACTTCATTTTAATTGGTTTATTTGTATAATGTAGTGTTGCTACTTCCACCGCTGGCAATGTTGAAAAGGTTTATGAAACGTTCAAGTACCTTGTTTTTGCATCAAGGGGACGCGGGAGACGAGACAGGAAGTGACGTCGTATTCTGCCGTACATAAACATACTACCGAGGTCCCGCGCCATCTTCTAGCTAATAAGCGGCCACAACAAATCATTGTGTTATACCTCAGTGCTGCTATCAAAGTACTCGTTTGCTTTAGCTACAAACTGAACAATGAGTGATATTGAGGATGGAAACTACGAGCGACGGGTAAGTAATCACATCGAATGGTACAAAAATATCTGTCTTTCTTTTCTTCCTGTTCCTTCCGTGTGGCTGTCGATTAGCAACCACTAATGGAGCTAATGTAACAGCTAACTTAATAGCTTAGGACATTACACTATTTTGTTTAGGTTAACGTTACCTGAAAGGCTAATACGTGTTGTGGTTTAACATTAACAAAGTATTCTGAAACGTCTGCTAGGTAAAAGGCTCCAAACAGCCTCCTGCAATGCTCGCTAGCATGCTAGTTGTCGTTAGCTTAAAAATAAACGTGGTTAGACCTTTTTGTAGTTTTAGTGGGGGAAGAAATATTCAGATGCTTTACTCGAGTAAAAGTACCTTATTGTCAAATAACTTCATTACAAGTAAAAGGCCTGCATTCAAAATCTTAAGTAAAAGTACTATTTGTACTTACGGTATAACAAGTAAATGTAATCATTGTGCAGAACAATTGCCTTCATGTTAGTATACAAGAGTATTTATAAATGAGAGGTTTCTAGATGATATGTTTGCATCAAGAAGCATTTTATTGTAGTAGACAAAGTTCTGATTTACTTTTTGTAAACTTTTAAAATAATTTGGTCATTGTGACTTTAAGAGTTAGTCTAGTTATTGGAGCAGGAGTACAAAGTAGCATACAATGGAAATACTCAAGTAAAGTTAAATTATCTCAAATTTGTACTCGAGTAAATGTACTTAGTTACTTCCCACCTCTGGGTATTTGCAACTTCTCCCATTGGTTACCATGTGAGTAAAATATATCGCACCTATATCCTTTGCCTATACAATTAAATACGAGTTATCCACGACGAAGTACTCATCTTCAAATATCACGGCTGCAGCGATTATTGTACTGAATATGGCAACCTTTATATTTGTTTTTCTTGATGTAGATTTGGTTAGGGTTACATCATCAAACCAAATCTGCAAAGTAACTAAAGATAATAACTAATTGTTATGGAGTACAAGTACACTATTTACCTCTGAAGTGTTGTGGGGTAGAAGTACAAAGTAGCAAAACATTCCAACAACACAAGTACTAGTCTCTCAAAATGTACTTAAGTACAGTAAATTAAGTTAGTTTCTTCACATCACTGCACTCAGGCAAATGAAATATGTGTTTGTCCTGATCTATTAATACATTATATATGAAGTAACTTTAGTCCTAAGCATCTCTTCCTTCCCTGCTTTCTTGCTCTTATTTAGCAAATGGAAACTTCGCTATTATTCATTATCTGAGCTTTTTACTTGTAATCATTTAGTTTACATTGTTTCTTTTCTCATTTACTTGATTTCTGGAATATTTCAACTTAATGTAGCAACAATGTAATTTTACTGCATTCAGTGTTCCTTTTTTTTTTAATTTCATTTAAACTATTCTCAAACCTATGATCTTAATTTTATTGAATGTTCTTTTTTCATTAAGGTTATTGACCGTGAAGGATTTGAAGAGTTTTATCCAAGAATGATGAAGAAAAAATTCAAGATAAAAGAAGGCTAATGAAAACATGTACAGAGCAGAACATAGAAGTGGAAAGGGAGACAATGTGACGGAAGAATGGTGTCAGATAAGGGCGCTTGCAGTGTAATGGCTAAAATGAAACTGGTTACAGTTTGGGTGGAAGAGATGAAAAACAGACCTGGAATCAGAAAACTGAAAAAAGAAGAACGAAGAAGGATAGAAATCCTGAGAAAAGGGAGAAGGGTGTAAAGAATCTGGAAGAATGAATGTGTCCCTAGGTTAAGTAAATATACTGTTTGTGTCAACCTGTCTTCTCTTTACTATGCTTCCTTTTTTAATTAGAAAATGCATGTCTTGTTTATCGCTTGATTGCCCAGGTGGACATGAAAATAGACCAGTCATTTACTTTTCTTTAATGGTTAACAATTGGCCACAAGCCAAATATATTTAAATTGGAGATCTAAGATTACTAACCCTTTTCTCCACAGTACATAAGCTATACGATTTAGACAGGTGTACTGTATGTGTCCAACATACTCTACCACACTTCTTTGTGCTTATTTATGTTTTCTGTGTTAAGAAATACATGATTTTGTCCACGAAAAAGTGGTTGACATTCTGCTATCGCTACAGGGGTCACGCTCCCCGTCTAAATCGGATCGTGGGAGTCCGGCTAGGGCCAAGTCGGGCAGCAGGTCACGCTCCCACAGCCCCGCCCGGGCCACCAAGCGCTCCGAGTCCAGATCCCGCTCTCGGTCAAAATCTAGGTACGTTGATATTTAATGAGATCCCTTGTGATCACATTTTATAAAACGAATAAATGCTCATTACTGGCTGAAATATGCTCCTATATATTACAATATACTTTTACACCTCTCTTCATTTGTTTCTTCCGTTTCAGGTCTCGTTCGAGGCGGCACTCAAACCGCCGCTCGCGCTCTCGGTCCTATTCCAACCGGAGGAAGTCCCGCTCTCGCTCCTACAGCCAAGAGTACCGCCGCAAGAAGAGCCCCAGCGCTTCCCCCAATTCCAGCAGGCGCCGGCCATCTGGCAGCAAGGTACATGTGACAAGATCTGAAGTGGGCAGGGTACATTGAAATCTTGGAAGAGAAACAGAAATCACTTTTTCATGCTCAGACACATTTACCAGATGTAAACACTAGTGCTGGGGGGAAACGATTATTTTGAAAACGATTAATCGGCCGATTATTTGATCGATTAGTCGACTAATCTAACGATTATTTTTCTGTTGTTCAATTCATAAAAAACGTAATGTAACATTTTTTTTTCACGATACTGTGTCTCAGGGGATCTTAATATTTAAGAACCTATTAATGTGTTATACCAGATTAACGGAAATAATCTCAGCTAACTGACGATACAAACCATGTTTACCAAAACAAAACACAAGTCTCATAAGAAGCATCTAAATGACCCCTGAGCGAAAAATGCTAACGGACATTGGCACAGAACTCAAGATAAAAGTACCCTTATTACTTATCGTAGCTGCACATACAATATATCCGATTAAAACTGAGACTCCACAGATTATGTAGGTATATAGTATCATCACTGAGTGATCCGGACTCGCGACAGGGGAAGCAAATACAGTCATCACAACACGTACCTTCACAGAGCTTCTAGGGAGATCGTCTCACCACCGTAGCTGTCAATCTGATCAAAAGACGTGTTCAATGGCATTAAAATGAGAAAAAACGCGGCTGAATCGGTTAATCCATAGGTTTTTAACGTCTATGTATAAAAAAATGATTGAATTTATAATCCATAATTCCATTTTATGTAAAAAATCGGAGAGCAAATGCTAGCTGCTAATGGTAGCCACCACAGCTAGCTGCTGCTTCTGCTAGGCTATGCAGCCGTCTCAGTGAGATATAAATATATAAATATCTTTGCGTTTTGGACTAACTTTAAAATATTCCCATGCTTTTGAAGACCTAGGGCGAGATGTTTTCGTTTGGGGGCTTCGTGCGCAATCCTGTGAGGAGGAGGTGGTAGCCGTTTCAGTCTCCATTGTGTTTGAAGTGCGATTGCGAACTGCTTGTTGCTTTGGGTGACCCACGTGTGTGTGGCGACGCGTCGACGCGGAAATATGTCGTCGACGATATTTTGAAGTCAACGCGTCGCTACAGCACTAGTAAACACTGACATATTGAACACTTTTATTTTTTTATTATTGTGTTTTTATTTCAACAAGGACTAGGATACAAATACATTAATCTCAGCAAAGAGAAGATATTAATTATGCCAGATTATAGCTCATTTTCATCTGCAGTCCACTAGTTGTGGACATATGTCTACTCCACATCTTAATTAGTGAGGATATGACCATATCTTCTAGGACCTGTTACTTAAAGGGTTAATACACGATGTGTCAGGCTCCAAATGTTTTGTTAAGAGAGACTTTTATTATGAAAGATATCGTACCTGCAAGTAGAGATGGGACCATATAGGACTGTTCATGTTGAATAAAT